CATCCCCTCTCCCCCCCTCCCCTCCCCTCCACTCGCTCGCCATTGCAGTTCGATGTGGTTTTCTCCTCAGATGAGCGTCTCGACACCTCCTCCCTCGTTAAGCGGTGAGCGCTCGTGTTCAACAGTTGCATTCGTGACGCCATTTTGATCATTTCTGCCCCTAGATGTGTTCAAGATCTTCCTGTTTGACTTGACCTTCCCATTTGACCTTCCCATTTGACCTTCCCATTTGGCATGCATATGGCATAGAACGTCTTGCAATGCCTCAATCAACCCCCGGCTCTTCCTTTGCACCCACCTCCACCGCTCTTTTTCCCCGTCAAGCTCAAAAAGTTCCGCATCATGTTTTTTGCTCCCATCCCACCTGCTCACCTCTTCCCCCTTGCCCACTTCGTCCTTCCCCCCCTTCTCTCACACCCTCTCCTCCCCCTGCCAGCCTGGGACGCCCAGCATAGTTTTCGAGCAAATGAGGCAGCGCCACATGACATGGATGGACCATCACCAATCACGTCTTGCAATGCAATGCCTCAACCCTCGATCCCTTTGGACCCATCTCCACCGCTCTCTCCCCCTCTGCCAGACTCAAGACGTTCAACATCATTTTGGAGCAAATGAGGCAGCGCCACATGGCTTGGACCATCACCAATCGCGAGCTGCGTGCGCACGTGAAGGCCAAGACCCTCTCGGGCTTGCTTGACAAATACCGCGAGTTTATCATTCGACACGGGTGGGTGACGGGCTCTCATGTAGGTATTACGGCTATCAACCTCTGCTCATTGCTAGTCTGGTGCCATATCGGCGCACGTGAAGGCCAAGACCCTCTCAGGTCTGCTGGACAAACACCGCTAGTTCATCATTCGACACGGGTGGGTGGAAAGTCAGGGTCAGGTCAGGGTTTCCGGCTCTGTCAGTATCGCTGTAAGTGGTTGATCCGCTTCTGGCAACTGGCATCTCATGGCACATGAAGGCCAAGACCCTCTCAGGGCTTCTGGACAAACACCGAGAATCCATCAATCGACACGGGTGAGTGTGAGGGGGAAAGGGGGGGGGCATGCATGTCATGTCAAGGCAAAGACCCTCTCAGGCCTGCTTGACAAATACCGCGAATTCATTACCTGCTTGACCCTCTCAGGCCTGCATGTCCCATCCGACACGGGTGGGTGAAGGGGCTGGTTGGCATGTCAGCCTTGGGGTTGTCACTTTCCAGTCATTGCGATGGGTTGCTAGTAGTGTGGTGCCGTGCTTTGCCCTGCTCTGCTCTTCTCTGCTCTCTTCTCTTGCGCTGCTTTGCTTTTTGGACCTACAAGTGCTGGCATGTGAGGAAATGGGTTTGTTCCAAGTTATTCTCCCCTTTGTTCTCCCCTCCCTCTCCTGCTCCCCCTCACTCCTTAACTATTCCAACAACATTCTGCGCAACCAGCACTCTCTGAACGTGCGGGTGCTGGCGTGGGAGGAGGTGGACGATTTCCCTCTCTGCTCTTCTTGTCCCGGCGAATTCTCCTCCTTCTCCCCTCCCTCTCGTCCCACTTCTCCAGCAACTTTCTGCGCAACCAGCGCTCTCTGGACGTGTGGGTGCTGGTGTGGGAGGAGGTGGGGATGCTCACACCAGACCCTGTCGTCCCTTCCCTTTTTCTCCCGTCACCTGCTCATTCCCTATCTGCTCCAGCAACACTCTGCGCAACTAGCGCTCTCTGGGCGGCGAGTGCTGGCGTGTGAGGAGGTGGAGACATTCCTCTGACTGCTACCGTCTTCCTGGAAAAAAACTCCTCTCTGCTCCCTGCCACTCCCCTCCAACCCCCCTTTTTTTCAGCAGCATTCTGCGCAACCAGCGCTCTCTGGACGTGCAGTGCTGGCGTGTGAGGTGGAATCACTCCCTTGTATGCTCCCGGGCGAGATCTCATCCTCTCTCCACTTCCTCTCTTTCTCTCCTCCCCTCTCCAGCAACATTCTGCGCAACCAGCGGTCTCTGGATGTGCGAGTGCTGGCATGTGAGGAGGTAGAGACTTTCCCCTGACTGCTGCCGTCTTCCTGGAAAAATCTCCTCTCTGCCCTTCCCTCTCCCTTCACCTGCTCATTCCCTCCCTCTGCAGCAACATTCTGCGCAACCAGCGGTCGCTGGACGTGCGAGTGCTGGCATGTGAGGAGGTGGAGACTATGCTCGCAGATTCCTTCAGCAGCGGGCCTGTGGGGAAGCACAAGTGAGGGGGACACGCATATTAGAAGGAAAGGGGGGGGGGGCGGGGGGGGGGTGGTGGGGGGGAAGAAGGGGGTGGGGAAGGAGACGGGGGTCAGCGAGACTGGTGCTGGCATGTTAGGAGGTGGAGACTATGCTCGCAGATTCCTTCAGCAGCGGGCCTGTGGGGAAGCACAAGTGAGGGTGGTCCCCTAAGGAACCATAATTTTAGGTGGTGCGTGTAGCAGGATTTAGGGTTTAGGGAGGTTAATTGGAGTGGGGAGAGGTGGTGAAGTGGAGAATCGATGGGGTCAGCAAGAGCAGCGCTGGGGTGTGAGGAGGTAGATTATTCTCGCAGATGTATTCAGCAGCGGGCCCATGGGGAAGCACAAGTGACATCAGGGGAGGCATGATGTTGGGGGAGCGTGCTTAGACGGTAGGGAAAGCATGACGAAGCATGGGTGACAACCATGTGGGCGTGTGGGGGAAGGGGAGTGAAGAAGGGGAGAGGGGGAGGGAGTGGGGAGACTTGTGGAGAGGAGAGAACATGTGGAGGAGATGAGATGGCACGGCATGATGGCGAGAGTCGATTCACTGGGAGACTGACATGCCAAGGGCGTGTCAAGGAGTCAAGCTAAGGGCACGGTATGGTACGAGAGGCCTGGTGGTCAAGAGTACATACAGATGCCCTGAAGTGCTTGGCAAGAATGGTGAGAAGATTTTGTGATAACTTTGGGTATACTAACTATAATAGGGTTGTTCCTAAGGTGCCTGAGTGTTTTGGGGTTGTGAGAGGCTTGTGTGGGCTTTTCTCGTCCATTCATCACAAGGCTGGTAGGAAATCAGCAGTGTAGAGCGGTATGGATGGAATTGGGTCGTTGCATATATGGACAGCAAATTGGCAACTTTTGTTACCGATAGCTACTGACCATGCCTTTCCGTCACAACAGCATCCATGTGGTGCCCTAAAAGGCGACATTGTTGAACATCATGCATCAAATGTAGATCACTGGTTGTGGACAACTCGGCAAGCCTATGGAAACATTTTGTTGGTGTTAAAACTTTAGAATGATACCTTATACAGTTATTGCAATTCCTATATCGAACTGTCACCCGCATTCGTCTTCGAGTGCACATCGCGAAGCCACGTCAACATATCGGCACTCAAGCCAGCTCCAGCCAAGCTGGGAAACGGGCTCGCTGCTCCCTTGATCACCTTGCACGTGGTCCAAGTTTCCAGCCGCGCAGCGGCGGAGGTGAGTCAGCATAACCTCACACACCACCACACCACATCCCTCCATCGGGCCGCGAATTTACGCGTCGCCCTGAAATTTACTACGGCCTCCAGTTTCCAGATCGACATAGTCGCTTGGCTATCGTGCGGCGGAAGTTCGCAAAACCTTTCGCATACAACGGCAATTGGTGGTTCCGCGAGCCGGTTGATTACCTCCGGATCGGCGAACTAGCGGCGCCTGGCGCACTGCTGGTTCAGATTTCTTCGCAAATTCCCACATGGCAGCAGCGCCAGCCGCCGCCACAGGAGATGGCATCTCAGCCGATGGCTGGTCGGGCTCCTCTCCCTCATCCTCGCTACTCTCTCACTCAGCTATCCTTTCTCCCGCTCTTTTGCCCAATCCGCTCCTGGTCCGTTTCTGATGACATGTCGTCTCGAAGGCATGTACTAGTACCTCGGCTTCACCTGATCGCAACGCAAATCGCTTTCACGATCTCATAAGGCCAGACCAACCGGTCTGTTTTCTTCCTCTCAGTCTTCATAGTTCACATGCGCCTTCAGAAAGGCTCCCTTCGGCTCCTTAAAGCTCAAGGCCCAAATTGCGCAAGGTTAGTAATCTTGCGCAAGGGTTTGGGCTGGTCAAGAAAGTGTTGGGAGGGTGGGGTTGATTTATTTCGCACAAGCACTCGCAACACTCGCTGAGTCAGCAAACCCCAAGGCAAACATTCAGTTTGGGACGGAGAGTCCCAAATTGAGAAATACTGAAAGTTGAAGTTTCTGCAGTGAGATTGGCCTCGACCAATCAGATTCATTCGTGCCTAGCGTAACCCAACATTCGCCAAACCACAGCACCAAAACAACAGCTGCGCAAGATTAGTAATCTTGCCTAGCGCGCCCCGCAATTTGGGCCTTGAGCTTTAATTTAGCCACTTTCGCATCATTCGCTGCCTTTGACCAATCTAATCCCAGTGGCTTTTTACCACGACTATCGACGCACCTTGCCAGCTACGTCGCGTATAGCGGCAGTGGTACGTTGACCGAAACCGAACGGACGACCTTTCGAAGCGGAAACGGGACGTCCTTGAAGCGTGGGATCGAGTCTTCCCAGTCTTCCGGAGGCGAATAACGGAGCGGGGTTACAAGTTACACGTCATACCCAGAATCGCAACCCCTCTAGAAGTCACCCGAGTACGCGACGTCTATCCCGTGGCGAATCCGCGTACGCTGCGATTGCGCTGAGCACTGCAGTTCCTCGGGAGCATCAGAGTGAAACAGCTCGGGAAACTTCTCTGTACTTCATTCCCTTCTTCCAGCGGCCGTATTTAATTTCTCGTAAGCTCGCATTCTTCCCAAAACCGAAGCGCTGAAAAGATTTCGCCTGAAAATTCGGCACGTTTAGCCAGGTGGATTCTACCGCTTATCAATAGTTTCATCGTTGTAGCCATGGCTGTTCCGGTCAACGTTTCCCCAGTCGCGCACATTCGGTGCGGAAATTTTTCCGCAGCATTCCCCGCGCCCGTCGTCGCCTGTCTTTCCGCGCCTCCCGCGGCTCAAGGATCCGCCTGTGTTTCTGCGCTCGGTAGCACCCTACGGATGCCCGGAGTTGACGTTTGCTCGTTCTCCGCTTCCTGCTCCAGTCGGCTAGCCGTTACAGCCTCGCCGGCCGCCGTCAACTTCGTCGTCTTCTCAAATTTGGATCGCGACATCGCCGTCAGTTCCGGCGCGAATGCCGCGGGTAACTCTGGCAAAAGCTGGCGGAAGGACGGGGGGCACCGCGCGAACACTCTCCGAGCTCAAGCCGCCATCCTTGCGCCGCCGCCGCCTGTTGCGGAAGAGCCGGAAGCAATAGCGGACACGGGCAGAGGCGGGGGAGAAGACGGCGGATGGTTTCGGGGCGGAGACGGCGACGACGGCGGAAACAACGGGGACGGGCGGTCGGGGGGAAGTGGAGCCGGCGGAGGCGGCGGGGGGGACGCTGGCGGAGACGACAGTGGGAGGGGCGGAGATTTTGGCGCGCTCTTGGGATGGCCACGCGTCGAGGCGGTTTTGCTGCGGAAGGGCGTAACGCTTCCGGAAGACATGCTGCTACACGCGCGGGAGCACGGTATATCGGAAGTGATTCTACAGAGGTTCTTGGACCTGCAGAACTCGTCGCTGGGCCCCGCTATAAGCAACTGCGCGGCAATTCGTAACCGGCTCCTAATGGACCCGTCGTTCCTTTTTAAGGTTTTCACGGAGGTGAGTAACTCGATCGAGTCGGAGTCGCGTTGCGAACTTGCTCTCGTCCGTCGCTGCTCAACTCGAGTTACCACATCCTACTGACATTTTCGCAATGTCTCGTTCTCGTTAGATCGCCATCGACTGCGCGTGCGCGACGTTCGCGGAGGTGCAGAAGCGAGGCGACGATTTCTGGAAGGAGTTCGACCTCTACCTCTCGGACATGCTCGTTGGGATCATTATGGGGGGTGCTGTCGTGGGCTCGCTCGCGCCAGCCGCGAAATTCGCCACGTCAGCAGCTGGCGGACGGTTGCCGCGCATCTTGCCGCGTGGGGTTTCCGCTGCGCTTTCGTCGCTCCCAAGCAGGTCAGAACAAGTAACTGTTAAAGTCGTTGAAACCATATTCCACTGGACGCTTGATTCACTGTTTGTTCTTGCCTTGACTCATGTTTTCCCATGTTAACGATTTCTGAGGCAATTCCTAAACGGTTTCTTGTTACGTATGGCTGATTCTTTCTTACTTTCTCTCTTATGTCCCGTTGCCCCCCCCCCCCCCCTCCCCCCCCTCTGCTTGATAACAGTGTCTTTGAGGCATCCCTTCCGGGCCATAAGTTTTCTGCTGCCCAACGAACTGTCACTCTCTTCGTCAAGGTGATAAATCTAATCTGCTCGCTAATCCCAACCCTTCTTCACCCGACCCAAACTTTCCTCGCCCAAAGCCCTTCCATTCTCTCCATGCATGAATTCCCGCGCTGCCATGTTTGGGAAATAATACCCCTCAAGTAACACTGCAGGGACACGTTTCGAAGTAGTTCACAGGTCTATAATTTGCTATATAGCCATCAAACTTACCGCTGTTGTTTCTTCTTCCCCTAACACCTCCAGACGTCCTGAGCTTGCCCTCTCGAAAGGTATCCTCTCCTCGTCCATCTCCATCCCCGCCTCTCCCTCCTTTCCCTGCTCCTTCATTTTGTTCGCAATGCCAGGGCGTTGAGTATGGAGGGTTTGGCTTCGCATCGGGCCTTCTGGGTCAGGGGATCGCTAACGGCGTGATGTCCCTGAAGAGGTACGCTGTGGTTCCGTTTTTTAGGTACGGCTGTTACAAACACATGAGTACTGTTCACTGGGGGTGTTGAGAAAGCTAATGTTAGTTGCTCCTCATATGTTCATTTCCTTCCCCGTACCTTTAAAGATGATCTATTGAAATGCACCATCCTCAATTTTGCTCCTAAGTTTGTCCCCTGCATCCCGCCTGAACATTCGATGTAAAATTGCATACTATATTCAAAGTAAAACTGCCAGTATCTTCCCTTCTTACCTCCCCTTCCTGCCATTGTTTCAGAAGTGTGCGTCAGAAGGGTGACGAGCCTGCTCATATAGAGGACAGCCACATCAAACCACCACCGCTTTTCAAAACGGCCCTTCTTTGGGGAGCCTTCATGGCAGTTTCCTCCAACCCAAGGTATCAGGTCGTCACAGGCTTGGAGCGGCTGGTTGATGGCTCAGCAGTGGCTCGGAGCCTGCCGTGGCTATCAGGCTCATTTACGGTTGCGGTAAGGTTTGCCAATAACATTTATGGCAGTAGCCAGTTCGTGGATTGGGCGCGGATGGCAGGTGTGCAGTGATGCAGGGTGCAAACTTGTTAACAGATTGCTTGGAATGGCTCTTGTATATCAGGGAACTCAGCACACCTTGTGCTAGAGGGGGAGAGTTGGCAATGATTAGGAAGAAAGCAACTTTGTAAGTTTGGTGTAGGTTGGTGCATTTTTCTATATGTTTCACATGTATGAGTTGTATAACCAATATGGAAGATACTGCTCCATGATACGCAAACCTGCATGACAATGCAGGAGGCAAATGTAAACGAGATTGGGGAATATGTAAACCTACATCAGCACATACTTGCACGTACTGTACATGTTGTGACCTCAACCGTCCTGCTCCAGATCTCAGTACGACGTGGCGTCCTGTGAAAGGACCATTGTGCTTTCCCGAAACATCACTTGTCAGAAACAATTGTGGTGTGGTTGTGCTTTCGCTGAAAGCAGCACCACCGGTTGGCCATTCCCTTGCTGCGACGCGAACCCATCCTGCGCACGTCCTGTATGTCTAGCAGGCGCAGGCGCGGAATGATGTGTGTAGCGCAAATCTCCGAATTGCGCACGGCGGAGCTCCCACGTCTGGACGAAGAGGGGTTGCCCCCGCAAGCGGTTTGGGGGGAAATGTGAGGAGGGGAATGGAAAGGCGAAGCCGATGATTGGTGTTGTGCAGTGTGGCGGAAGTGTGGGAGGAAGGAGGAACGGGAGACGACAATTCTGGTGATGAGGGCATTTTGGCGAGTTTTTTTGGAGGGTTCCAAAACGAATACACTTTCTCGAAATTACTGTTTTCAATTCCCTGAAACACATTCTGGATCTTGGAAGCCCTCTTCAATTCCCTGAAGCACATTCTGGATCTTGGAAGCCCCTCCCTGAGAAGAAGGTTGAGACGGAGTTCACTTGCTTTTCGGTTTACGGAGAGGACGAAAGAAGCCGAAATAAAACATCGAGTGGGAAAACTAAGCATCACCACCAGTGGAATGTTGGGTGGTACGGAACGGAAGCCGCCACAACACGCCGAGGAGAATGACGGGGCACAGAACCGACAAATGTAAAGCATCCGCCGGGAACCACCTCTCTTCCCTCTCACGCACGCTCTCACCTTGCCTTGAAAGCACCCCCTCCTGCCCCTCTTTTTCTCCACCACCACAAACAACCACCGCCTTTCCACAAAAATGAGAACGAGAAAATGAGGAGCGAGAAGAAGAGCAGAGTTTTGAGCTGCACGCATACACGCACGCACCCAATCACTGGAAGGCTGATAGGCTCTGCACCTTTGAGCAGGTCCAGAGAAAGTAGGTGGAGAGTGTTGTCTCGTTGCGGTAGCCAGCAGAGCAATGAGCTGGATACCACGCCAATAGTTGCGGCAACTCGAGGCGTTGTGCCACTGGAGTTCGGTTCGTCGGTTCATTATGGATGAACAGAGAGTCTCCTAACCTAACGACTAGGTCTCAGACACACCAACGCGATTTCAGCACACTTGTTAGGTCACTCTCCGCTTGAGTTTCCTTGCTTGGTTCCTTAGTGTTCGCCCCTGAGTGAACAATTTGCAAGTTTGCTCGCGGAACCGTAGACCTAATTTGCAGTGCTGGTGCATATGTGACAAGCTGGAGTCGCGTCGTCTGCGGTCGTGGTCGAGGTGTATTTATGAGTCCACGTGCGTCTAAAACTGGCTGGTAGCAGTTAATCCGCTAACTCTTCACTTCAAGACGGTCCTTGAGAAAATCGAGCAAGTAGCTGTCAGGCACGTTACGATCTTGTCGTGCTTCGTTGCAGAACTGTTAGCGGGGTCACTTATTGTCGGCTTTGCGATCCGCCTTCTGTTTCTGTTCTCTTCATTACAATACCCTTCATTACAATATAGAGCACGGCGCAATGGCGCTTTCGGCCCTCCTAAACATCCCTAGTTCTCACAGTTTCGGCTCGTAGCAAAATCGGCTCGTGGCAAGACCGTTCTGAGTCGGCTCACTCTAGTCAGCCACGGTTGGCAAGTGTCTTGAGTCATACCAGTAGCTTACGTCCTCTCCTTCCCACCGTCTCGCATCCGTTTTGATCATTATTTCAAGAGGCAGCTTCCCCCGAACGATAGTATCAGCGCGCTGCCTGAAAAATACACTCAGGTCACTCAAACGTTTTATTATTAGATAAATCAGATAATTGCTGGGTTGTGGTAACCAGATGGCCACCAGTCGGCAACGTGGTTACGTCCAACCATTGTCGGGCGGGGAGGAGCAAGGCGGGCCCATGTCCCCCTACGCGCAGCCCCGCCGAATGGGCCCCGGCGGAGGGGGAAGCGGAGCGGACGGTCCCCCCGCCCGCAATCCCGGCCGCGGACGCCGCGTGGCCGGCGGCGGCGGCGGCGGCGGCGCCCCTCAGGCGCAATTCACGCGGATTAACTCGATGATCTACCAGCCGTCTCCGCAGCAGGAAGAGCAACCGGCGGAGCCCCGTTATAAGCGCACTCTCTCTATGGTCGCCCCCGCGCCGAACAACAAAACTCCGCCGCGCGGAATTAGATCAGCAGGCGCGGGGGGGGCGCACGCAGGAGGGCCAGGCATGGGCGCGGGGAGGGGCGGGCGGGGGAAGCTTCCGCACTCGTCGTCCGTGGGCGGGCCGGACGGCGGGATGCGCAGGGGAGTGGGCGCGGGGGTGGAAGACCCTTTGGCGGACCAATTCGGGCGGAGCATGACGGTCGGAAATAAAGCGCCCACTCCGCGCGGACCTGCTGCGGGGAGAGGCGCTGGCGGAGGCGGGCAGTTTGGCGGCGGAGAGCCGGAGATTGGACGGTCGTTGACGGCCACTGACGGCCGGCACCGGTCGCCGTTAAGACAGAACCCGCACGCGACGGGGGGGATGGGCGTCGGGGGGATGATCACTCCGCGGAGGACCCAGGCGCAGCAGATGGTGGCGGGCGGAGGGCGCGGCGGAATGGGCGGGATGGGCGGAATGGGGGGCGCGCCGGGCAGTCCGTATCGCCAACGCGCGGGGAGCGGGTTTTCGCAAGGCGGGTACATGGAGGGAGGCGGAGAGTACGGTGACGAAAGCGACGGGATGTACGGCGAAGATGGTTACCACCAGAACATGCAACGGTCGCGATCCACGGGCATGGGGATGATGGGCGCAGGCGGGCGCATGGCGGGCGGGGGGATGGCGATGGGGGGAATGGGCGGCGGGATGCCTCCGCATGCGCCTGGGGGAAGGGGAATGGGCGGAAGCGGGCGCATGGGCATGGGGGAAGAGCACTACTACACGTCGGACGCGTCGGAAGGGGGACCCGGCCCCGGCGCGGGGGCGTATCCGCGCAGCCGGTCGGTTAATCCGCGCCTAGAGGGCGCGGCGGAAGCAGGGGGGATGGCGGCGCAGGGGAAGGCGGGGAAGGCGGAGGTGGACCCGTCGGAACTGCCCATGCTCCCCCCCCCGGGCAGCCCGCAAGTCGTGCAGGTACGCGCTCTCGCTCACTCACTTTCACTCAATCACTCGTTGCCTGTAATATCTTCCCTCCTTTCTCTCTGTTGTTCCTTCCACTCGAATTACCCCCTCGGGCAGCCCGCAAGTCATGCAGGTACGAGATCTTGCTCACTCTCTCCCTTCCTATTCTCTACTCTCCTGCCTTTCCCCTGTTCTTTCTACTACCTCCCGACAACATATCCCCCCGCCTCCCCACTGCCTTTCCCTGTTTTCCACTGCTTTCTCTGGCGTCCTTTGCTCTGCTTTCTCTGGCGTCCTTTGCTAAGCTTTCTCTCTTCTTTCTTTCTTCCTACCTCGCGCGTGCAAGCATGCACAAGAAATTGCGTTAGTTTTCTGGTATTCAAATTAACCGGATCAGGTAAGATATTTATCTTTCTTGCTGTTTGCAAACTCGGGATGCCTGGTTAAGTCGAGGCCAAGAATGCTGCACAAGCGTGCTATAGCGCGAGCGACTTGTAACGAGGTTAGTGCACAGCTTTTAGCCCGTTGGAAATATTACATTGTTGTTAGCCGCGCGCATAAACATTTGCGGGAAATTTTGTGGTGAAACAAGTTATCGTGGAAAGCTGAAACGAACCCCTTCTGTGTGCGAAAACTTTTGCGAACGAAGCTGGAGATTCGTGGGCGGAAAGAAAGAACCCTGGTTGGTTGCAGACCATTGCGAGTTTCGCGAGGTTGGGTCTCTCTACTCCGCGCGGGCTGGTTACAGCCACGCAACAATTCGCGTCGCTTTCGTTGGGATTCTGGGACGAGCAGTTTGTTTCTCGCCTCATATTAAAACCACTCCCGCGGATCCAGCCCCTCCCCTTCCGGTCCCAACACACCCACCCACCAGCCCCAGCACTGATCCTAAGTAACTTTAAAAAAAATCCTTTTTAGAGCAACTCCAATATAAGGCTGGAAGCCCAGCCCAGCGGCCCTTCTATTGGTGCAAGTGCATGCGCGTCTCACTTCCTTCCCACTTTTCCTCTCCTCTCCTCATCTCTTCCCGTCTCCTCTCCCCTCTTCCTCTCCACCTGTCTACCTCCAATCACCCCCTCCCACCAGTGTCAGCGCTGCTCTCAGCTATTGGAGGTCCCAGCAGCCCTCCCGCCGGCCAAGAAGGGCATTCAGAAGCTATGCATGCCCTTTGTGCATGCACTTGTTGGTTGCGCTGCAGCAAGTGCATGCGAGTCTCACTCCCTCTCCCATCCCTCTCTCCCTTTCTCCCCTCTTCCCCTCCTCTCCACGCCCTCCTTTCCTTTGCCCCTTCTCTCCCCCCCACCAGTGTCAGCGCTGCTCTCAGCTATTGGAGGTGCCAGCAGCCCTCCCGCCGGCCAAGAAGGGCATTCAGAAGCTGCGCTGCGGCAAGTGCATGCGTGTCTCACGCTTCCGAGTCAACCCAGCAGATCCCCGCTCTGCTGCTGCTGCTGCTGCTGCTGTTGCCGGTGGGGTTAGCGGCGGGGAGGGGTTTTCAGATAACCCTGACGTGGCTGATAGCGGGAATGAGTATCCGCAGAATGATTATATGCAGCAGCAGCAGCAGCAGCCTCCCAGGTCCCCTAGGCTGCTGCAAGGGTTACCTGGTGCAGGAGGGTTTGGGAGAGGCATGGGGGGAGGGGGAGGGGGAGGGGGAGGCGGAGGGGGAGCGCCCCCGCTGTCTCCGCGCATGCAGCGTCCCGGAGGGGGGTTTGGCGGTCAGCAGATGCATAATCCAGGTCAGCATGGGCGCATGCCGTCCAACGCGGATTCGGAGAGCACTGTTGTGATTCGCCAGGAGTCGGCCGGGCGGCACGCGGCCGGCAGTTTCTATCACCACATGCGGCCAGAATCAGAATCAGATCTGAGTTCCCCTGTTAGTGGCACAGAGGGATATGGGGGCGGAAGGGGAGGCGGAAGAGGGGGAGGCGGAGGGAGGGGGGGAGGGGTGAGCGGACCTAGACGGATGATTTATCAGCGGCAAAGCAGCTTTGAATCGGGAGATATGTCTTCTAGTGGAGGCATGCCAAGTCCGTCCCCTAGAGGGCCGAGGGAGGGGGGTGGGATGGGGGGAGGAGGGGGGAGCGGGGGGGAGGAGCGGGCGGCGTATGCGCGGAGAGTGATTGTGAATGGGGAGCCGATTCGGGATGACTATGTTGCTGTGGTGGAGCAGAAGGCAGGGAATATTCACCCGGGCAATTACTGGTGAGTGCAGGAATTCGTTTTTTTTTTTTTTCCTTGCTTGCTTCTTGATCTCGCCTTTTCTCCCTCCATCTCCCTCCCTCCCCGCCCCTCCCATTCTCCCTCCGCTCCTTCGTCTTCCCCCCCATTCTGCTTCCTTTTTCGTTCTTCACTTGCGCTTATTACCAAGCATCGATTTCCCTGACTGCCTGCCTCCGCATGTTTGTGTTACACTTTCATGCATTTTCACTTTACCCTTACCGAGGAAAGTGACAAATCTGTGCTTTGACCGTAATTCTCCTGGGTTTGGGAATGATGCTGCTGGCTGGCAGGTACGACCAGGTCGCAGGGTTCTGGGGCGAGATGGGTGGCCCATGCCTCGGCATCATTCCGGTAAGTGCCAGGAGTGCTGCCCATGCGTAGCCTATGCATGCTGCTCCCCATGCATACCCTTAGCACGCTCCCCATGCATACCCCATAAATGCTCCCCATTCATACCCCATGCATTCCCCACGTTTCCTCCCCATGCATACCCTATTCATAACCGTGCATGGCCCATGGGCCTCCCATCTCGTCAAAACACTGTTCAAGCCGTTCCTTCTTTGTTCTTTCCCCCCGAGTCTCACCCACCCACACACTCCCACATCCTGCCAAAATTCCACCCTGTTTCCCACAAAGCTTTCGTAATCCACTTTCCGGTCTTCCCCTCTTTTTCTAACCCATCTCACTCGCCCTCTCTTTGACCTCCTACACTCCCATCTTCCTGGAACCCTCCACCTTGTGTTGCTGCAGCCGGGGATTGAGTTTGGGACGCCGATTCCAGTGGACTGTGCGGGAGGTGCGACGCGGGTGTATGTGAATGGGAGGGAGCTGCACAAGAAGGACCTGGATCAGCTCATGAAGAGAGGGCTGCCTGAAAAGGACCTTTATGGGCTCATCATGGAGTGATCACAAGGCCTCTCGTTTGACTGCTGCTGTCATTTCACTTCTGCTTACCCTCATCTCTCCACTGCCTGTGCCCGCCCTCCCTCCTGCAGCCCGGGATTGAGTTCGGGACGCCTATCCCCGTGGACTGTGCAGGAGGTGCAACACGGGTGTATGTGAACGGTAGGGAGCTGCACAAGAAGGACCTGGATCGGCTCATGAAGAGAGGGCTGCCGTCGAAGCCCAACATGTCGTACCGAGTGGAGATCAATGGGAGTGTGTATGATGAGGAGACGGGTGACTATCTCCTCAGCCTGGGGAAGCTCGCACCCTCGTGAGTACCTATTTATATCTCGTGTTTCCCTGTTAATACATAGGTGGCTTTTGTATCTTGGGTAGGGGTGGGAGAGACAGAATTTTGGAGTGAGTTCTTTTCTCAGGAGCATGTGGGGTGGAAAAGGGGCAGTCGGGAGGAGGAAGGGGGGGGGAGGTTGGTTGCTGAATGGGTATGTGACGCGATATACTGGGTGATGGATAAGAGCCATCAAAACTTGATGTAATTCCATGTCATTTGGTGTTGTGTTCTGTGTTTCACGTTGCAGGCTGGAAACAAGGAAGCGGGGTGGCGGCATGAAGGTGCCTGAATCTAACTGACGAGCGAGCTACGGTGGTCTCTAAGGTCCATGATGAAAGCCGTAGTGCCAAGCCAAACACTCTGGTTAAGGTCTATAGATATCCATTGATTCCGTAGGTCACAATGGTGGCATGGCATGGCATGATATGACACTGCCCTCTACTGTCAGCCAATAGGGTCTCAGTGCAACTCCAGGGCCTGTGTCACTGTCCTGATGGCTGGATGGTACAATGACATGCTCTCTAACCCTCTGCACGGGATATTTCAAATTGTACACAGGGGTGTAAGCAAGCGCTTTTGAATGATTGAAAATCTCTATCTACACGGTACAGCTTGTGGCGGTAAGATGACATGGCTTCCAATCTTTTCCTGTTCAAAGCTGCAATGCAAGCCCTTCAGACACTTAGTTTCAGGTGTTGGCAAAACCAGCCTTGAAGAGCAAGATCGCATGGCCCTTGAGAAAGAAGTAGATGAAGTGTTTCTCCTCATGCGTCACGTACGATCCTGCAGTGACAACAAGGCAGTTCTTACGGTCGTCGTTCTCCACATCCGTTCTCCAGACACGTTAGGGAGATTGTTAAATTTCCTCACCGAAGTTTTTTCCAACTATGCAGTGCCACACGGGCGAGTGCTTCTCATCGAACGCCGTCTTTATGTGGAGAGCAATGTCTTGCAAAGCTGTTTTTGACTCCATTGCCTGGATATGATGCACAGGTTGTTAGTAGAGGGTGCAGAACGAATCGAAAGCTCATTTTGCAAACAAGGCTAACCTCGGTCGCTACTGTAATGGCGTCTTTCTGCATCTCCTCAGACATGTCAGCTTTCTTGATCTGTGCTTCTACAGCCATGGCGAGGACCTTAAATCAAACGGAGGAGAGGTCAGGTTGGTTGAAGCCAAACAGATCAGACCAATTGGACCGTTCCTTCGTGAAAGTGAACGTAAGGAAGAAATTTGAGCTACTCCGTGGTTCAAATGAAGTATAGGCTAGTCTAGATTTCAGGAACCTAGATTTCAGTGAGGAGGAGTGCATGCTCGCAATGAGAAATACCTCGCGTCGCAGGGAGCCCCTGGGATTGGCGAACACTATTCAGGGGCAAGTTCGCGAAGACTCGGATGGGAAAACAACCAATGTTGAGGTGGCGCGAACGTCATTTCGCGAAAGCATGGGGTATCCCTCCAGCTTTCGTAACGTTTTGTGCTGACAGAAAAAGGTTCAGCTCCGACTCCTTGCATAAGAGGTATGCTTGCCACAGGCTGGTTTTGAGGGCCAGTTGTCAGAGCACACAACAGCCTTAGAAGTTGTCCCACAGCTAGGCACGGCTGGGCTAGCTTCTGCACCTACCGTGAGAGGCGTTGCGCTGACAGTTACGGCGGGTCCTAAGAGTACGTCCGAATGCGGTTGGAAAGGTTTGGACTAGACCCAGAGCGGTTTATTTGGAAAAAAGTCTGGTTGGGTAGGGTTTTCTGCGAAAACGTACATTCTTTGACCCGCCCTTAAAGGACATCCTAGATGGCTCGCAAGAGCTTGCGTCAACGAATCAGAAGCGCTGTCAAGGATGTGGAATCTATGGAACTGCCACGAGAGATGAGGACTAGAAACGGTGAGCTCGACGGAAAATGGAAATGCTCTCGGAATCAGCTCAACAGATAATAAGTCGCACTGTCGTCGGGTAAAATCTGCACGGTTTTAGCTGCTCGTTCTCCGCTGCAGGGATGGCTTTCCAGCTGGAGAAAAAGCCGAGCAGAGCTTTGAGTCATGACGAGGAGATTTGGGTGAAAGATTTGCTCAAGGTACGACCGTCGCATCTAACTTCCCCCGTTCTTGTCCGAATCATAACGAATTGCTATTTTTGCTCGAAGAGTTGCAAAGCTGGGGGAGGTTCTTACGATGTGTCATACATTTTATGACCATGAGGCTCTTGCAATAACCATGACAGAGAAACATGGAGCAGCACTTTGCACCGTCCATCTGGCCACAAGTGCTTTCTGGCAAGCTGACAGAAGCAGTGGAGCCTGACGCCGTTTATCTCCTTCTCAAGCAGCCGAATGCCGCCAACGAAGGAACCACTACTGTACAAGTTGTAACTGTTGAGAGCATTGCTGAATGCACAGTTGAGGCCAGAAGCACAAATGCGTTAGGTCGCATGACTCCTGCTAACGTCTCACGCATTGGAAACTACCAGTCCATACCTCAGATGCAGGAGAGCAGATGTCTTCAACAACAACTTCGGCACCAAAATTCATCCAACCCAAGACCAGCACACAGTGTTGGGCGGAACACTTATTCCTCTGCTCAAACGATGAATGGGGGATGCACGAGAAATGGCAACACCACAGGATGCAAATATGTGGGCTTTATGCACTTCCGCATTGTCGAGGAGAACGAGATGGCGTCTCTTTACGTGTATGAGTTACAAGTGGAGGCTGAATATCAAGGAATGGGAATCGGCAGCAAGCTCATGAGGATTGCTGAGCTCATGGCAAAGAAGGTATGACAGCAGAACCCTTTTCAGACATGTGTCTTTTGAGCTCCTCCATATATTCACTCTCAGCTAACAATGTTGTGGTGCAATTCTTTCATTGTGATGTTGACAATGCTTTTAACATACATGGGTGCCTGGCCTATTTATTTGCTAACTCTTCCATCTCTCACCTTCTGTGTTTTTACCAACTTGTATCCATTTTGCGCTATCATTATCTTTGACAGTGTGAGCTCGAAGCCATCTTTCTTACAGTCCAAAGGGAAAATGAAACAGCCAGAGCACTCTATATGGAGAAGCTAGGGTGAGGAAACTTCGGAATTAGTTTACTGATGAGACTGCTGAAAGGAGTTTGCACGCGGAATTGAGACCACGTGTATAATTTTGCAGTCCCTGGACACCACGTGCACCTCATTTCTGTACTCTCACTGCCGATACACTCCCAGTATTGGCTTTCCAGGTCACTAGCTGTCGTGAATCAAAACTTTGCAGTGTTTCTTCCCTCATTGCAGGTTTCAAATTGCAGATCACTCACCTGCCAAGGTATGGCTTGCTAAAACCTATTTCATTCTGTATTGTTGCTTAATATTTAGTCACATACCTTGCTCAAAACCTTAGCATGTTTGAATATCTGGCAAAATTGTATTGGCTGCTTTCCTGCATCTCTCTTGCTATGCGCAGGACGAGGAGGTGGACTACGAGATATTGGTGAAATTATGCTAATTTGTCAAATGGGCTGTGCTTATGATATTGGAGATTGATAGTTACCCCACCATAAGTGAAGTAGATTTGTTGTGTGCAGCCTTTTCCAAATTTAAGCACGGAATGGGAAATCAACGGAAACACCTAGTCTTTGCTTTGTCTTGCAACCTACTCTTCCTAAATATTTTATCGAAGGTAGGTTGTGAATGCTCAGTGTGTTGGCTGCTTATAGGGCGTGGAACATTGGGCCTCGCGCTCGCGCACAGGCTAGACTCCGAAAATTTATGTACCGTAACCTCATATAGAAGTTCGTCATTCTGAGAACAGAACAGATACTCGAACATCAATGGAGCAGCACCGCGAATATTCCAGTCGCCAGCTCCAGTCGCCAGGATTTGCGAAGATCTGCGCGCGCCCTCAAGTAACTTACGTATCCAGTCTACGCAGCGTCCATGCTGACTTCAGGGTACAGCATATTTCGCCAAAGTCAATTCCCCGAACGCTGAGTGAGGCTCGATCCAGGCTCGATGCAGGCTCGGTCTGGCTGGGATGGCTCGATGTCCCCCAACATGAGCCGAGCCTCAACTCTAACCGAGATTTTTCAAAATATACCACGGCCCGATCACCGACCACTATCCTCTTACCACAATTCACAATCTCTCCATTCAGCCGGTTGAAACTGGGGAAGGGTACGTTATGACAGGGTCACTTGGTCGCATAGCTTACGCTAGTACAAACGCGACCATCGGAGGCGATAGAGATGTTAGGGCGTCGGGTAGCGGCGACCGAGCGGAGTGTAGTTCGACCATTGAAACCCCGAGCAAATTAGTGCGGCGACGACCATCATGGCTTGCCAATCCCCGGAAGCTGGCCACGGCACGGGTTTCCAAGCTGCTTCTCTTTCTAAGCCTTCTCATTGTCTTACTTCTAGGCTACTTGTTTCAATTCAGCGTGCTTCGATTTTCTTCTTTGACTGCAACGAGCGGCACATTTGCGAAGCGGGATTTAAGCGGCGACGTCAATGGAACTTGGGGACTTCAACCCGAGAAGGTCGACGTTGTATCGAGGATTGAGGACAATAGCCTAAAAGACGTTCGCTTGAACATCACATTCAGTTGCGTGGATGTTCTTCAGGCAGCCGCTAACCTCCCTGACGCCAAGAGGACTAAATTCAATCCTCCGCGCTTAGCCAAGTGCAAAGCCAGTTTATGCTCGGCGATACAGCAACTCGCGATCCAAGCTTCAGAGCGAGCTTCTATTGGGATTCAGATCCAAGACCGAAGTTTCTCCTCAGCATCAGTCAACCGGATCGGTCCATTAACCCCTGCTGGCGTGGCGAACGTTAAAAAAGAATATCTAGGAATCGTGTGCAGCGAGGATTGGAAGCACAATCTTATAAGTCGCTTCCCTGACAACCATTTCTTCAAGCGAGGCGTTAAAGCCCAGAAGATATCGGTGTCGAACGTTTCTGCTCAGATTGATTCCCTTTGTGGGAAAGTGCTAGAGATAGAGAGTAACTATACGAAAGACCTCTTACTACAGGACCCCACAGAACGAGGCGAGGGTAGTATCAACACCACCAGCAGCAGCAACAGCAGCAGCAGTGGTAGCAACCCGAGTGATCAGGACAGTCCGTGCAACCACTGGCCCGAGTCATGCTGGCCTGTGCCTGGCATGCCGTTTTCCAAACTCACGGTAAGCACATGCGCTGCGCCTGCTGGCCTTGAGTGCATGGATCATGGGTTAGCTGTTCTAATACACTCTAATTTTCTTACGTTACTGAGCGGCGCCTGCTGGCCTTGAGTGCATGGATTATGGGTTAGCTGTTCTAATACACTCTAATTTTCTTACTTTACTTCTTACGTTACTGAGCTGCGCCTGCTGGCCTTGAGAGATTTTCAGGGTCATGAATTAGCTGTTCTAACTCCAATGCACTTTCGTGCAGGACAAAATAACATTGTAGATCTCTGTTGTCCCTTGTTCTGAATCATGCAGGACAACATAACATTGCCTGTCACATTCTCCTTCTTATTATTATCTTCTTAAATCAGGACTTTGCGAGTCGCAAGTACCTGGTGTTTGCAGCGGTGGAGGAGCAGCTCACTAATGCAAAGATCCATGTCATTGAGGCGGCACGGGTCGCCAGGGAGACCAACCGCATCCTCATCCTCCCCAAGGTGCATTTGCGCGCATTTTTTAAATTTAATATTTATTTCGCACGCTCCTCCTGGGTTCTCACGCCTTTCACCCCATTCCATGATTTGATCTGTTTTTAGAAATAGAAGAAGGAAACCTCTCAATGATCCAAGTTTAACTGATCCGAACCAAGGTCAACGCTTGCTGATCTACCACACCAGCCACCTGCACACAATGCTTTTGCACCACGACATTATTCAAAAGACCTGGTCATCCAATTTTGGAAATCCATTTTTTTTTCCTCCCCTCACCCCTCCCCCCCAACCCCCACCCGCACCTCCCCCCTCCCCCCTCTCCCCCTCCCCCCACCCTTTTTTTTCTGGTTGGTTTGTTTGTTTTGTGTGTGTTTTCATATTGTGCTGTCTGTGCTTCCCAGGCAGGCCACAGCCATCTATCGCTGGGTCGATCCATGCCCATGTGTGCCTACTGCGACTTGGCTCACCTCAACGCCACCGAGTGGGTCTCCCCCGAGTTCTTCCTTCTCCTCGCCCGGGCTGCCTTTATCCAACCCTCTGTGGGCTACCTCTGCGTCGACACGCCTGAGCTGGGCCGGCCCTGCTTCGGCACAAGTGAGTCAAGGCCTTGCCGGTTGCTCGATTCTAGTCCGTTCAAAGGCTTGCTGTTGCCTTCTCCCAGCCCTCTGTGGGATACCTCTGCGTCGACACGCCTGAACTCGGCCGGCCCTGCTTTGACACAAGTGAGCGCTTGACAGAATAATGCTATCATCAGCCTTGCTTAGTATCATGGCTAATGGCCCAGTGCAGATTTTGCAGTGCTGCGGACCACCCGCTGTGTACTCATTCCACACCCCCCATGTACTCACTCATCACTCCCACGAGCAGAGGAGATAATTCGAAGCCTGGGGGGACTGCTGATTCTGGCCATGGTCACCTTCCCTCGCATGTCACCACTGTCAGATTGTGCAGTGCTGCATTGACTAACCCTCGTGACCACCCCCCATGTACTCATCCCTCCCACGAGCAGAGGAGGTCATTCAAAGCCTGGGGGGACTGCTGACCCTGGCCATGGGTCAGCTTCCCTCGCGTACCACCACTGTCAGGCTGCACATGCCCGCCCGTCCCGACCACATCCGCTCTTTCGTCCATGCTTGGTGAGTCTCCCAGTAAGCTGATTTCATAGCCCCTGCACTGCTCTGCACGTGCAATGGCGAGTTTTGCATTGCAGTGCCTCAAAAGCCATGCCTGCCCGCCCCGACCACGTCCGATCTCACGTCACGTCCGTGCATGAGTCTTGAATGATTGCCTCAGAAAGCAGGCTCACCCGCTCTGGCCATGGGTCACCTTCCCTCGCGTCGCGTGCCGCCACACCACTGTGAGGCTGCACATGCCTGCTCGTCCCGACCACATCCGCTCCCTCGTCCATGCATGGTGAGCCTCCCAGGGAGCTGCTTTCATAGCCACTGCTCTGCACGTGCAATGGCGAGTTCTGCAGTGCCTCAAAAGCCATGCCTGCCCGTCCCGACCACATCCGCTCCCTCGTCCATGCATGTGAGCCTTGAATGACCATCTCAAAGGGGACTGCTCATTCTTGAGTCTTGACCCTGGCCACGGGTCACCTTCCCTCGCACATGCCCGCTCGTCCCGATCACATCCGATCCCTCGTCCATGCATGGTGAGCCTTGATTGAACAAGTCCTACCGCTTTGACAGGGCAATTGCACACACCATGGATGACCTTACGCACAACACTTGTCATTTCCTATCTCTGAATTTCTCATTGCTGGCAGGGCTGACAAGGACGTGGTGATTTAGTAAAAGGATACGTTTGACCACTTTGACAAGGCAACAGATGACCTTGCACTCAACCCTGGCTTTTTCCTATGTCTATTGTGCTCTTTGGCTTGCTGGCAGGGCTGATAAGGACGTGGTGATTTACTCCAAGAACACGTGTGACCACTTTGACAAGGCAACAGATGACATTGCATATAACTCTACTTATCCTGCTCACTACCTATGTCTATCGTGCTCTTTGGCTTGCTGGCAGGGCTGATAAGGACATTGTGATTTACTCAAAGAACACGTTTGACCGCTTTGACAAGGCAACAGATGACATTGCGCACGAGATCTTACCCTATGCGAAGCAGTGGCACGATATGGCTGACAGGATCGTTGCTAAGCTCCCAAAGCCCTTCATTGCCATCCATTTCCGCTCCGAATTCATTGCGTACAACCTGGTAAGTGAAGTTCAGACTTTTCTTTGCGTATATGCACATTTCATACTCATCTGAAAGAGATGCTAAAGCATCTGGATCCAGCTGGCTGTTCTTGTACCTTGCAGAATTCATAAAATGGTTGGATAGTCCAGTTTTCGGACCACCTTGTACAGATGATTCTTCATGCTCATTGTGTCAATGACTGCTGCAGGCAGAGGAGAAGAAGGCTGAGCTGTCAGCTGTGGAAAGGCTGATGATTTTGGGAAAGCGCATGGAGCGATGCACGCGAGAAGCTGCACAATTGATAAATCGTGTGAAGGCAAAACGTGGTGCCAGAACTGTTTTTATAGCCGCTGA